GAGATTCTTGTTACTGGGATTGTGCTTTTTTTTTGTTTTTGTATTTTTTTTTCCTTCATACCCCCGCAACTTCGAAATTCATCGTTTTTCGACGATCGCACCGGAACGAGGAGCCATTGTTTGGCGACGGTAGCTCGCGTATATCTTTGTCCGGGTGTCTATATAATTCAGGATACAACGTCCAATATATTACAATTTGTCTAGAGGAGATTGCTGTTTTTCGGACCCCCCGCGGCTCGGGACCTAAGGCCCCCATGGGATAGGCCGGACCGTGAGTATTATATTTCTATGTAGTTTAACGTGTGTAATATTTATACGCGCGTCGATGCTGTAGGTTAGATGGTTTTTACGGGCCATGGACCTATGGGAGATGATAGATTGATGATCTCGCTAAATATGGTCTATTATACGGTTAACTGTTCGTTTTACTTTTTTTTTATATGCTTAAAGACCCATTCGGCTCAAACGCATCAGGCAGATTTGACAGCTGTCATGACGTCACCTATAAGACTGTACAGTAGATCAATTTCTACTAAAATATCGTCTAATGGTAATTAACCAAAACAAACGTTTGACAGCTGTCAGATTTGACAGATCCGTCGTATAGCTATATGACCCACGTGCGCCGCAGTGCATAGGGTTATCCTTAGTAACTGTTTACATGACACCATGAAATAATATAACTTTTCTATTCCCTTTTTTTTTTCACCTGTCAACCCGATACGATTATACGAGGTGACTTTGTAATCTGGTAACGAGTTTTGTAATTTATTGTGGAAATATATATTATTCGGGAAAACGCAACGTGTAATTCCAGCTAATAGCTACGATCGATTAACGATTATCAATAGGGTGGAAATACAGTTATTAGTTGTTACGTATAGACGAGCGTAAACGTACAGTCGTGCGTACGATTGCGATTACTTTGAAAGTTAACACCGTGTAGATTGAGTGTTTTATGGGTTTTCTTTTCTTTTATCCCTCTTCACGTTCCATTGCGGCTCAACTTTGATTGTTTTCGGAACGCGGAAAATTCACGGAAGGAGATGCGATGGCAGGTGATATTGAAAATTCAAGTCACGCCCTCTACTCTCGTTGCTGTAATATATAAATGTGGCCAACCCCGAGGCACATTTGGAGGTTGGTTAGGTAGTTAAAAAAAAAAAAAAAGGAAATCTTAAAACTTTCAAAGGGGACGATTCTTGGAACACAGGGAGACACTAACAAGAAGCTACGAGTCTCCCATAATGCCCGACAGGGGTTGAATTATATATATACGCTTTTCCTTTTTCTTCGGCCTCGTCTTGACTTTTTTTTTGGTTGATACCGATTTTTGAATTTTTTTTAATAGCTTGGAGTACGAACGGTAGCCAGGAGGGTTGCGTATAAAAATTAATATTTACCCTAATTAACTCGGTTGTCATGACCAATTAAGAAACGGTAGGAACACAGCTACCTGCTTGAGGAGACGTAGACGTGCAGACACCCCCTTCGAATAAAGTAGAAAATTTTATTTTCCCAAGAAAATTTAAGGACTACTTCGAATGGTCCATTCGTACCTGCGGTTGGGTTTCGCGTCGTGTTTTTACCTAAAACGTCAAAAAGATTTAGCTCGGACGTCTTCGAACAAACTGAGGGATTTTGGACGTTGATGCTCGAACCTACCTTTCTTTTTTTTCTTTTTTTTTTTTTCTTGAGTATAATTTTCGAATAATTTCGCACAGCCGGTACTGGGTTATTGTGTCTAACGATTTCTTACACGGTCGTACGTTATGGGCTTCCTCAGTGATCCTAATGAAACTTTAAAAATATTCGTAGCCAATATATCGTAGATTCCGGATGTACGTGATTCGCGTTAAGTCCAATTCACATGTATATATGCGTTTATACCTGTCGGCAGGTTAAATAAATTGGCTCTCACGACCCGAGCGCCCTTCGAAGGTTAACAATAAAGTAATAGGAAAATGTGAAAGAAAAATCAATTCCAGCACCCTCGATCGCTTTTAAATATTCAAAGGGGATACTTCGAGACGCGTTTCAAATTTACGTCCAATTACGAAAAATCCTGGGAGAAGCGCTCGTAAAGATGGTCTACCTGAGGAAAGAGTCTCCCGTTAGGAATGCCTAAAACAATGCAAGGTGACATGTCCTCCACCTGTAAGCTCGTAGACCGAGAGCACGGGGATGTTTCTCACGACCCCTGCGTCTTTAACAACCCCCAGAACGCTCGGTGATTTGTGCGCGACCCGATCGGGAAATATGGCTCCCGAAAAGTCGGTCCCAGAGGAAAGAGAGAAACGGAATACAAGAAGGATGAAATAAGAAAAAACATCGTTAAGGGATGTTCTTTATTGTCGCGACAAGAATGCCACTCGGTTTCTCAACTTTTTAAACATGGTCAAGGAATTTTGCGTTTTTCTCTCAGCCTCTCATCCATTTTTTCCCTTCCTTACCCATTAGAAAATTCAGCCTCGATACGTTCTATCCCTATGAAAACAGCCTCCTGGAAGCCCCAGCGGAATACGGTTCACCCTGTCCTCGCCGTACAGAGCCAGCGGGACCGAAACGAATGATAATGTAGGTATATCGTATTAAAATCTGGCGCTACCCTAGTCCAGCAGTCATGGAAGGTTCTAGAAGGCGTAAGGAGTCTCTGGGCGCCAAAATAGATGGACCTCGTTACAAATGGAATGGAGTTTATAATCAGTATCTCTGCGGTGGCATCTACCGTTCTTCGGCTCCCGAGAGTGGTGCCTGTATATATATACGGTTGTTGGTTTGGACTCTCTTGATTCTTGGTTCCCCGTACTCGTTTATATCCACCTAGTCGGCCCTGCTGCCCACTACCGCCACCTGCACGGGAGAAACAAGACCAACAATAAGATTATAATGGGCCGGTGGAATGCCTCGTATTTATCATTGTTCATCGTTTACGGTCTCGAGTCGCACTCCTCAAATTCAATTTCTCCGTTAGACCATCGGTACTCAAAATCAAATTTCGACCCGGTCCCAACAGTCCGAAGTCGTACCGAAAGTGGTACCCAGGTCGCGGTACCGACGATCCATGGAAAAAACAGCGGGGCCTTTACTGATAATCGCCGAGGCATACCAGCCTTCGGGTTAGGGGCGGGGAGCAAGCTCAGGCAAAACGGCGACGTCGCTTCACCACCACAGTCAAGTTCGCCGCAGCAGGAGAGAAGTCGCGATATATTTGCATGCCGTTTGCCAGAGTAACTCCAATGGGGGCGTGGGGATCTTCTCCATTGGCTCACCATCCGAGTAATGGTTGCTTGCATTAGCTACTCCGAGGATCTGCTAACCCGTAGGCCAAGACCTCGATACTCCTTTACCAAGGCATAGGACTTCGCACGGTAACCACCCCGGTAACAGGTAGGCCAAAGGTACCTAGCCTAAATCCCGATCAGTAAAAATCACCCGTGACGACGTTTCTGTAGAATTTTAATTTACGTGTAAGTTTGAAAAAAAAAAATTTTAATAAAATTTTCAAGCTACCGAACGACCTTGAAATTCGGTATAAAATCGTCATTAGCGAATTATCGTTGCCTGGCCCGGTGACTAGGTACTTTCTCACCGTTCGCATAGCGACTTGCCACTTTTCACTCTATCGGCTTACCGATATCTCCCTTATGTCGTCCGGGGTTAGGAATTGGGTTTACGCTCGCGCAACCCTGGTAATTAGTGAGTCTCGACCAAATGACGGTGGTCCCACGAAGGGTCCCATATGCCGCTCCGATGGAGAGATTAAAATCTCTCCCTGGTATATACCCCGTGTAACGCCGAGTAAGCCAACTTAAAATAATTCCGGTGTGTGCGCGACGTGATGTGTTGTGATCCAGATCGAGGGGATCCTTATCTTCTGGCAGGGACGTGTTGGTCATGGCTCAAGTCCCTGCAAAACCGTCTCACCTGGTTCCCCCCCGACTCATCCTGCTCCCCGCCTGCTTCTTGTCCTCTTTCTTACTTTATACGAGCTCCCCTCGCCTCCCTTCCTCGTCGTAAGATCCTCGGTTCTTGCCTTCCGTTCCTACAGGTCGTTACGTAAGACAACTTCATAGCGAACCCGGCCACTGAATCTTTTGGCACGTCGTCCGGCGATTTGAAAAAGGGCCTGGCGCGCACTTCAGGGACGTTGGCGTTGACGTTAAAAATATACCGGGTTGTAAGTACCGTGGAAAATTAAAATAGAAATTCAAAGGGATCAATAAATTTTTGAATTTAAGAAAAGCACCTCTTTTCATCTTCGTCGAGGAAGGGCCTATACCCGCTGCCAAAGGGAGTTAGAGATTCAGACCGATTAACATGGAAGCCGTATCGCGGGACGGTCGATAACGATCGGTCGGTAATACATAACCCTTAAGTATTTATTTAATCGGCTAATCACTTTGAGGCTCCATTACAATAATCCGCCCTTGATGTATATAATGGACGTCTATAAATACATGCTGGAGATGCGATATAAATACTGTTTATGGGGTTACCATAAATTCATGGATAATTTGCACGGACTGTATTTAACGCCTTGAGGATAACGCCTGGCACAGGCTTCTATGACCTCCAGGAGTCAGCCGCTTCTTGCGGTGGATGTAGAAATAACGTGGAGAACGTTCCGTGACTACGAGCACCAGGAAGCAGGTTGTGCAAGACGAGGAGCAACGTGGATGCTCGCGCAACGAGTTTCATTGAAAATTTTCTTTTGATTTCAGGGAAAAATCACGCGGCCGCCGGTTGGTAGGAATTTTCGTTCGGTGCCCCCGAAATGGCACCGCTTTGGTATTGCACGCGGTGCGCGACATTAGCGTGAGGCAGCCGTAGTTATCGGCACGGCCTGATCTCTTTCTTATAAATAATTCCTGACCACGCTGCAACTTCGCGTCAAATGGCCAAGCGCGAGGCGCTCCGCCACGAATTCAGTAGCCACGTAGTGCGCGCCATTCGGAATGATAGTCAAATAGTAAAGTCACAGGTGTTTCTGTTCGAAGGTACATCAAAGGCGCCGACGGACGCCGGCATAACTTCCTTTGGCAGAGGACGTAGTCGCAGGAGACTTCCGAGTTTGAATGTCCCTCGAGGAGCATAAGGAGAATCTCTACGCAGATCGACTGCAATAGATAAAAGATGGTTATCTCGTAAGTCAAACGAGTATCTAATTAAAGATAAGATAATGAAAATCTTGACGTACCTGGCCTTATTAAAGATTTTCTGATTTTTTTTTTTTTTTTTTTTTTTTTTT